GCGGGAGCGGAAGCTCGGCGGCCCGGCCGCCTCTCCTAGATAAGCAGCTGCAGGCGCCGTTTCTGCCTAGTACCGTGCGCTTCCGACGCTGTAGCTCATGGAGCAGGGAACCAGCCCGGAGAAAGAGCCTCTGTTGCCAGGGGCTGCCGAGCGTCACCGGCTCTACTCGGGCAGGGACAGCGGAGACCTGGGGGACGATGGACACTGCGGCGTGTCCGCGGCCTCCTCGCCCCGTTCTGGCGGGCCTGGTGAGCCGGGACAATTGGGCTGCTTCTCAGTATTGGGAGGAGCAGGACGCTGCAGGCCGGGGAGGGCTGGCGAAGGACAACTCAGACCCCGGCGCCGCTCTCCGAAGCCAGGGCTTGACGGGCATGAGAGCTCCCGGGGCTTTCGATGAGTTTAGGAACCGCCCCTTAGAATCGTAGGTCGCATCTCGGTCGCGTCCATTCCAGGTCCTCACGCAGTAGCGAGGCTGTGTTTTGCCTATGCGTTGCAGACCTACCGCGAAGTAAGTTTGGGTCTGTCTTCTAGGTGGATGGTTGGGAGTGCTCAGAGCCGTCGCTTCTCTGTGGGTCTTGGCAGTGGAGAGGATCGCAGGGACCCAGTTTAGGGTGCGCAGTGGAACAGTTATAACAATAAGTGTATCTGAACAGAGTCCCCAGTTCACACAGTGCCCAGATGGGTGATATGTTTTGAGTTCAGCCTGTGGGATGAGCCCAGCCATTGGGGTTTAGAAGGTAGCATGTTGTGTGAGTGCAACCCATGGGGGTCAGGTAGACTTATGGCTTAATGCATTCTGTGGACAGAGCCCCTCATTTCCTCTCTGGAGACATGAATGGCCACCACTCAGACATCTGGGCATGGCAATTTTTCCAGGGCAGGAAATACATACTCAAGTTTTGAAACCAACTGCTATTTGAGAGAAGCTGTTTTGTCAGCTGGTTGACATAAAAATCCCCTGTTAAAAAGAGTAGTGTGATCTCTGGTGGACTCAGCTGGGTTCTGGCAGGGCTTTACTCTTTGAAAAAGGTTAGGTACACTGGAGTTTTGAAAAAGAGAGCAACAGCTGTAGAACCGTCAAACAACTTTATGCATCCTGTTGCCCTTTGGACATTTTGGACCTTCCCTCAACAGTGGCTTTGATGGCTGGGACTGATGGGATTTCTAACCCAGTTAATATGAAAGATGCCAACTGGGAAAGGCTGCTGTAGGTTTCTGCTGGTTGTGCTTTTGATGAATATTCTAGCCTAGAAACAGTGGCTTGGAATGTCATAAAATTAAGGTTTATGTCAACTGTAGAGATGGAGCCAGGGAACAGGGCAATTCTGCATGACGCGGTAAAATAGCAGCTGCAGGCATATGCGGTAGTGTTGTGCCCTAGATGCTCTGGACCTTTAGTTACATGAAACTAAAATCTGGTTCTTGCAATCATATTTTCTACTTCTGATGGTCTTTTTGTGTTGTTTTTGTGAACAGAACAGCATAATTCATGCACAAGACTGAGGCATCAACTGAGATTTGTTTTGGTGGGGGGAAGTTTGGTGGGGGGAACCTCAAGATGTTTTGCAGCACAAAATAATATTCCCATTTGTAGAATGGGGGGAAAAAATCTCCAGAAGTGTAACTCAAGAGTGAAAATGCTCAGTGGTCTCAGAGGGCTGATTGTTGGTTGGGAGGCAATAAAGTACAGGAGGAATGGATTATCATAGAGGATAATGGAGAATGTAGCCACCTGAAACCGAACAGGAACATTTCACATTGCAGTCTGCTACTGCAGATTATACTCTTCACATTCTGTGAGATGTTCCATGGCTTGTGTGCTTGCAGAGCTGACATTATAAATTGAGAGGGGGATAATAAAACCTCACTGGCAGATCTCATCTTTAAAGGGATTCCCAGAAAAGTTATATAAGACAGGCTGTACTGGTTAGGCTGAATCTCCTGACATATACTAGTCTGTCTAGTGAGGGAGTTCTTTGTCCTTCTGCAAAGATCTTCTTTTAGTCCAGTCCTGTGAAAAATAGAAAGAAAGGTTGCTTTGGATCTTCTTGCCCATATACAGAAATTAAGAAACTTTTTGCCTATCTGGAAATAGAAGGAATAGCTGTGTGATTATGTGGTCTTTCACCTAGGGAAGATTTTTATTAAACTAATGAAGACAGATTTTTAGGTATACAAAAAGGAGCTTACTGTATTGGGCAAAGAGAAGTAGAGGAAAATAAAAGAAGCCAACAATTTCACACAGAATTCCAAATAAAATTAAGATAATTTGCTTAGCTAAACTAGTTATTTGTTCCCTCTTTGAATAAATGCTTAGGTTTCAATTCAGGTTCAGAGTTCATAATGGAAAGGATGGTGGCAGAAATATCTGCGACCCCTCCCTCCCTCCCTTCCTCCCTTCCTCCCTTCCTCCCTTCCTCCCTTCCTTCCTTCCTTCCTTCCTTCCTTCCTTCCT